TTGTTAATTGATGACGAGCGGAAGGAAACATTGCGGGATGGTATTGTGCGCTTGTGTATTGGCCTTCGTCCGCTTGATGGCCCCTTTGCTATAGTTAGAACTGACCCAGCACCAGGTTTTTCAGCACTGGCCAAGGACACAGTGCTTGCTCAATACAGGCTGGCCATTGAAGTTGGCGATGCTAAAAATATCAACAAAAATCCGGTGGCCGAAAAGGCCATCCAGGAGCTACAGGGCGAGATTTTGCGACTAGAACCACACTGTGGGGTCGTCACCCCCTTACTATTGTCTGTAGCTGTTGCTCGGTTAAATAGCCGTATTCGGTCACGTGGCATGTCAGCCCGTGAGATGCTGCTGCAGCGTGATCAGTTCTCTCTCGAACAGTTACCGGTGCTTGACCGGGAACTGATTGCGTTGCAGCATGCACAACGCCTGGCTAACCACCCCCACAGTTTTAAAGCTAAAGCTCCACTGAGTTGGGTGCACCTAGCCTTGATATTTGCCCTGGCGACCTTGTGTATTTGTATAGTGACCGTAACAAGTCACAAGCTCAAAGCAGATATCTTGTGCTTAGTTCAGATGGGATGTGGTGCAACGTCCGTAAGTTTATGGGTTCCCAGTTGCGGCGTACTTCTTATAGGGTTCGCTTAACAGATTGTTGCACCTCCGAGCGATCCTGACATTCCCCTGGCGATAGCGACACCCGCTTCACCCCCTGGGTCTGATGACAGCGAATGTCCGGAGGGTAGGACCATGTCCTCATCAGGTTCGGTGGAGGTCCCGTGCCACGAGTTAGCCTCCCTCTCAGCTGTTCCGGTGCAGGCTCCTCGGTGGTCAGGCCGTCTCCGTCGACTTCCCGACAAGTTAAAGGATTATGAGCTGCACTAGATGGGCTGCCTTCACCCGTATCCTTGCTTTGCTTTGAGAAAGTTTTGTTGAAGCTTTGCATTGGTGTTCTGCAAGGCTTCATAAGGATCTGCGGTGCTGTTCTCACTAGACAGATGGTTCCGTTGACTCATCTTTTGTTGTCACATGTCACTCTTTTGTTTTTCCCCTTTTTTTTTGTTTCAAATGCCCACAGGTGCCAGAGAACAGGGGGTATGTTCTGGAGGGAAAATGGGTGGCGCCAGTATGTGAAGTGTGACGATCGTGACGTTACTCCTGACGTTGTCCGTGATCCCGTTGGCCTGGGCGGAGCTGGCGCGTGTGCTTCTTGTTATTGTTGTGTTGGCCGTCGCAATTAAAGGCTTGACTAAACTATTCTCTCGTGTCAGCGATTCAATGTACCTCACCTACACACTGGCGCTGTTTGTTTGTTTTCATACTGAAGTCCAGTCTGGTGGGTGTGCTGAGTGTCCACTGTGTGTTATCATATGTAAACAAAAGAGTCTTATTAAAAACAAATAAAAAATAAAAAAAAAACCTTTACATGGGTTGCAACTCTAAATTTGATATCAAATGCATAGTTATTTTAAAAATCCAGATGCCAGAAGTTATTCTTATAGAAATATAAATTACTAACAATATAATTTTCTGTCTTAATTCAAAATTAAAACTCCAAAACCAATTAAAATAGCATTACAGCTGCCCATAATGACAAGCCAAGAGCTGCATGCCTTTGGCATAGCAGTTAAACAAAAATTAATCTGCCTTAATGTAAGTCTCTGTGATGTTTTGTATACTGAGAACAAAAGAGGGCCAGATACTGAATCCTGAGGTACCCCAGTGGTTATTTGATGTAACGCAGACTCCTTTCCAACATAACCTGAACGACTTATATAAGAAATCGTATCTATCATTCTAAATGTCTTTACTGTCATACATTTAATACATCCTAGCCGAGTAAAAGTCTTAATTTCTTTAAAAACAACAACAACATACTGACCCCACATTTCTTGAACAGTAGTGGGTACATTGGAATGCTGCTGAGCTGTTGTTTGCTTCGACATCAAAGTCCAGTCTTTAATTTACTTAGCACATTACTAAAATTTTTGTACATTTCTGCTCAGCAGGTAGAGAAAAATGAGTAGAATATCAATAAACCACTGCAATTAGCTGTATGCTATTATTATAAAGTTTTCTTAATGCAATAGCAATGCAGTAAGGCAGGTGTTTGTGACCTTTTTTTTTTTTTATTCTGCAATTTAAAATATTGCAATAATCATTACCAAAGCACAAAAGAAATCAGTACTTAATTATAATAATAATGTAGTCAGTGTTTCCAAAATCATTTGACAAATTAATCATTAACATACTGCTCCACCCTCCTCTGTTCACTTAAATACAAGCATTGTGATTTTGGTTTGATATAATCAAATCACTGTCAGCGTAAACATGGTAAGCTTCTCTTATAATACTGTATATGTTTAGTTTAATATGTAGATTTTAGGACTGTCGTTAGGTAATTTTCACAATTACAGAATTCATTAAATGTATGTGAATTTCATGAATTTCATTTTAGACTTGTTAAGCTTCAGTGATAATTAAATTTTACCATACAAACAATAAATTAATTAATAAACAACTCATTAATTGAGGCACTTTACTTAGCACATGTGTAGATTTTTAACATCGGATCAATGTGTTTGTTGACTGTGAAGAGGTCGGTGGTTTTGGGTTTGTTTCTGTGGGCTGCCCTTTCTCTAGTCAATGCTGCATGCTTCATTGAGGAATACAAAACATCAGGTATAAACTGTCCTTCACTTTTATTGCAATACTAAAAAATGTGCTCTATTATAATTATCATTATTATTATTATTATTGTTTTTTTTTTTCTTCCCCTGAATTCTTTCTCTGATATTTTATAGTTACGTTTTGCCATGATGGGACAGATAAGACATGGCATCCTACTGGATCTGTTTGGAGAAACAGTAAATGTTTTGACTGTAATTGTTCTGCTGATTCCATGAGGTGCTGTGATGCGTAAGTACAGCATTTTTAGTGTGTAGTGACATCACCATTGATTTCCTCAATCAATACAACACAAAGGAGTTACTTACAACGGAAGTAAATGGAAAAATGTTTGGAGGATTTAAAAGAAATTGATATTAAAAATGATATTAAATTCAAAAATAAAAAATAAATAAGTTATAAAAAGCATTTAATTGAAAACGCTTCAAGACCAAAGGTTATCGAAAGAGTAAGTTAACTCAGATATTTTAATTTAAATATCTTACTGATGAAACATAATAATTCCTTTCGTTGTGTTTCATTCCTGTAGAATGCAGAGGCCTGTTAATTATCCGGACAAGTGCCAAGTGGAGTATGATTACACTACATGCACATTTGAAATATTTGAGAAAGTTCCCTGTTCTGCTACCGGTGGTGTTATCGGGAAATGACGGCCATGAATTATGAAAAGGATGCCATCTTCATTGTATTATCTGCTGATTTAAACGACAGTAACTTGTGTTTAATTTGAAAAAATAAAAAACATTATACATGTGTTCATTTTCAATTTCAAGCATGTTTTAACATTAAACAGCATGACGTGACATTGATAAATGAAAGTAAATTGATTTTACTCGTGTTTATATAATTAAAACAGAATCAATACAGTCTATTTGATGTTTTTTTTTTTACACATCAGCACAGACCCTATCTTGACACTTCTTTAACTCTTGATGTCATGTCTGTTAACTCTCAAAGGCAGGTTTGATTTGGTTCAAAAACTTTTTTTGACTTTACATCCCGATAGCAATCACTAAGTTCAGTGGTCTAAATGTATTTACTGTATATGTATTTATATTGTCTGTGGAAGGCGTAGGACCATCAAATGTTCGCCCAATCATATCTCTCGGTCCGAGGGCTACGATAGGCTGCTAAGATAAACATTTTAAGATGAATATTTCACTTACTGGATAGAAGCAACTTACTTATACATATATACAGGTAATCTGTTGTAAATAATATCTTATTGATTACTTTACAGAATTTCATCGCACATTTCATCGCCAGCAACTGCACAAAATTGCATATTTTGCTCAGTTTGGGCCACTGAATAAAACTGAATAAATTCTCCATACGTGCACTATAAAAACCTATAGTCTCAAATATGACACTCAACAAAACGCCGCATATGCAAACAAATGCATATTTATATTATATATATATTGTCTAAATGTTCAATAAAGTAGTCCATTTACAAAAATTTGATTTTTTGAGCTATTGCTTTTATATGTAAAGCTTTACAGGAAAAAAAAGGTTGGTATTTGTTCAAATGTGATGCTGTCAATAAGCAAACATTTTCAGTAACATCTCTTACCACTAGATGGCAAAATAACAACCTTAATAACTCTGGGTTTCTTTATTGCTTTAAAAAAAAAGAGTATGGAAAGTTGTTTTGGAGTCAAGGGGCTGAGAGAGACAATGATTTTGCACTGTCTGGCAAAGACACACACACACACACTCAAACATAAACACACACAACCACACTCCATCAATCTAGCAACAACTGGGGCAGCGAGCAGAAGTGTGTCAGACTTTGGGGTGCATGTGCACATTTACATGTGTGCATTTGCCTTCTAGAAACTTCTTTCTAACCAAGAATCTTTCTTAGAGATATTTGCATTTTCTTTTTTCCATAAAACCTACACTCTGCTGCCACAGGACAGTAGAAGCAAAGACAAATCTAGTCTTTTGGAGAATGGTTTCTCCAAATTAACGGCACGGAACAGCTGCAAGGATTACGGATTGTCAAGGACCCTGTGGAACCTTACTTTTCTCTCATGGTCACTTTTGTATTTTTCCTGTAGTCCTGATTTTGCTTGACTCAAACAGTGCTTTACAACATGTGCAGACTTTGGAGGATAGCAGTTTTGCTCTGTGTCAAATTGGTGGACACTGCGAATGGAAATACAGGACTCGTGCCGGAAAGAGGGACAGCAGCTTCCTCCTGCTATGGAGGTTTTGACCTCTACTTTGTGCTAGACAAGTAAGTTATCCTGTGATTTACCACCTTTTCTTACCAATGCATGGTCATCACACTCTGTATATGCTGTGTTGGCATCTGTACACCATGTAAGACTCACTTTGTCTGAGGGCTTTAACCCATTGTTTTGACTTTTGCTCATGCAGAATTAGGTTTACAATTTAAATGCAATTTTTTCAGAGATATAAGGTCTATTATGTGGCAAAGTTTTAGGTTAAGTGATGCTTTCATGTACTGTATTAATGTTTTATCTTTTTTTTTTTTTTGATAAAAATTGACCCAAAAGGTCACATTTTGATACTTTGAAGATCATTTGAACATTTAAAATGACTGAACTTCATTATGCAAAGTGGCACTTTTCGGAGCACTACAGTAAATAAATTTTTCTTCATTCCGCTCAATGACTTTTAATCCAAGATTTTTCCCCTTATATCTATTGTTTTGTACTTCGATTGTTTTACTTTTTGTGAAGTACATGTTGCTTGAAACGTGTGCATATGATATATTTCTTTGAAACAATTTCCATGTTGTTTGATATTTCGTTGTTTAGTACATAATGACATTCACACAGTGTTTGCAAGAGAGAGAGGGAGAGGAAAAATCTAACAATAAAGATAACTGTTTTCCTAGGTAACATATGTCGCATCCAACAACAATAATGCATGAGGTGGGAAAATGGCATGTTAGGGGTCAATGCGGACACGCTGGCTGGATGCAAGTTTACAAATATGCAGCAATGAGCCAAAAGACTGCAAGGGAAGGATAGATTAAACAGCTGGGTTAAGAGGCCATTTGCCATATTAGTTCCACATATGCAGTTTAATAGAAAAGTAATGTACACTGGGAAAAAATCGATGATTTAGGATTTGTTTTGAAACAGTTTTCACTTTGAAATCGCTATTTCATGAAATACAACAAAGAAACAGCAAGTAATATTGAATTGTATTTGAAATTTAGAGCGTTTTCTTTTAAAATGTTACTTTTTATATGTAGTTCAGAAATGATTACCGTGCATTTTGACTACAAAATGAGGTCTTGTTTGATAATTTACTTGGCAACTCGCAAGCTACCTTGACCTAATTTTGGCATGCAGTGTTGCGAAAGCCGTAGGACTTATAAAAGCACATGAAAAAACAATTACACACAGTTCTAAACTCAGTCTTCACATTGTGATGTTTACCTGTGTGCTGCTAGCTTTTATACAATATATATGAACACACACACACACACACACACACATGGACATAGAATAGATTGGATGTGGGTCACAGTTTCCAGCTATTTCGTTTCAGTCTAAACTGTAACGCTACTTGGCAACTTTTCCCCAGTGTTATGTTCATGTTCGACAAATGTGTTTTAAGTATAAAAAACACAGCTGTGTTTCCTAATACATGTAAATCATTCCTCACGGCTCGCCTGTCAGTTCAGCTGTGAATGTGATGTTATTGTTGGACAGATTCATACTGTTATACAGTGACATGTCAACTCATTTCCCCTTTACTCCACTGCCCTGGATACTGCAAATCAAACGAGTTTTCATTTCATTCATTTTGTAAAATTATTTTACAGGAAGAACATTTTCCTGAACATGACTATATTGATTATGTTATTGTCTGTTGGTGCAAAGAACATTTATAATGCAATATTCATGTAGTGTTCAGTCATTATCAGCACCCAGTGGCTGAGCCCTGATGACAGAACATGCCAGCAAAGCGAATAGCTGTAGTCCAAATGTCTGAGAATGCTAGTGGAAGATTTCTATTTTGCATTTGTACAATTTAATACAACACTTTAAATAAAATAAAATAAAATTAAATTAAATTTAAAATAATAAAATTTAAATTATATTATTGTTATATAAATTAATCATTCTAAATTAGTCAGCATAATAATTTGTAATTATTATAATAATTAATGTCAGGATTTTAGTATTTGGTGCTTTCGATTTCATATCACTCATACATACATATACATGTGTGTGTGTGTGTGTGTGTAAAAATGTTCTCTAGAATGATTTAAAAATGTGCATCTTGTGCTTCAATGGGAATCAAGCTCATAATTGCTTATAATTCATTTAACATTGTAGCTTTTCTTATTGTACAAAATACTAAATCTTTATTTCCAATAAATAATAAAAACTCCCCATTTGAACCCAACTGTACTATTGAAGCAAAAAAAGCAAAGACAAAAACAGTCAAATCCGACGTTTGCAATAGCCAAGTCAAGTCACCTTTATTTAGCGCTTTATACAGTACAGATTGGTACAAAGCAGCTTTTTACAGTGATAATCAAGAAAATAATGATTCAGTGATGCAAACAGAATTCAATTTTGCTGCACAGCAGCTCTAAAAAATGAAGACAATAGTAAACAGTCATTATAAAGCAAATTCAGTTCACTGTTAATTCAGTGCCGTTTAAGTCAATCAATAATTGAATGAGTTTAATTCATCTATAAAGCAGCTTTGGAGAAAACAATAATGTCATCGTCCAGCTCACTTCACTTCTCAACCAATAATGTCAGTGCATTTAAGTCATTAATATTGCCAAATAGTAAGTGTCCCTAAGTGGCAAGGAACCCAAAATCCATCTGTGACAAAAATGGAGAGAAGAAAGAAAAAAAAAACCTTGGGAGAAACCAAGCTCAGTCGGGGAGGCCAGTTCTCTTATGGTCGACAGTTGTCAGATGCATGCATTTTAAATGCTACAGCAGATATAAACATAACTGGTCATAATCAGTCAGTGTAACAGTCTATTAAGAATCTTCAGCTGACAATAAGAGATGCAATGGAATTCCTTTAGCATATAAAACAGAAACCTTCTAGCTATCATGGGACAATGCCCACCATTAAGTTCTGGTTGCGTTTAACACGGGTTTGTTTATCAACACAAATCAATCAGCAATCACTTGGATGTGAGTTATGGGAAAGTCAGTGCTTGGTTGCTCTACTTATGGGCCATTTCTGTGGCTCCACTTTATAGCTGTGGGCTTGATGGTTTGGCTCCTGTGCTCAGGAGGGTCTGTGAAGGCCATTTACCATTCTCCTCCATTCATTCAGCTCAAGTGCTTTTGCAGACACAGTGGTGGGAATAAAGAAACATGTGTTATGAAACTAATAATGTCACTCAACTCTAATGACCAGGAAGGCCTGTTGTTGTTTCTGGAATAGTTCTGGAGCTTCTGCTTCTACTTGGGTCAATCACATTCAGTGATCAAACTATTTGAAGATTGTCCTAAATTTGAAACATACCGTTCTCTGTGAACTTGTCATATACCATCAAGGTAGAATAACTAATTAACAACATTTTGGAGAAATCAGTAGTCAGCTTTGTTTAATGAAGAAATTACGTCCCCAGTTAAAGCAAGAATTAAATGAAATCAGTGCCCAAAAGAACTGGCATGAGACACAAAAAGCTGGAAGAGAAGTTTAATCAGAAGTAGAAATGTTACACTATAGCTAAATATATTAGCTAATGAGTCCACAAATAAAGTACTGTAACTTGGATTGCAGTTTAAACATGATAACTGTAACGCCAAGCCAGCAGAGGGAGCCCTCGCCCGAGTACTTGATATGCCACACCTGTGAGGTGGATGGATTATCTCGGCAAAGGAGAAGTGCTCACTAACACA